TAACAATCAAAGTTCATTATTATTATTTTCCCGCTTTGAATGGAAAGTCGAATGATTCTAGCAGGGACCCGGACCGAAAGTTTTTTTTCAGTTCGTTCCGGTTTCGGTTTAATAAAATATCAAATAAATGTTCCGGTTTCAGTTTCAGTTTTTTTTTATCAGTAAAAAAAACAGAACTGTAAAAATTATGGATTTTTAATGATATTTTTCGGTTCTACTTACTTGCTTTCTTCTATTTATTCTTTAAATTTATTTTATTAAGAAGAGAAAGGGGAAGGAGGAAGAGAAAGAGAGAAAGAGAGAGAGCATGTTCATCCGATCAATCTAAAGAGCCTAATCGAAGAAAGGCTCAACTGATCACGTGACTGAACAAAAATTATGTAAACATTATTTTAAGCATTTCTCTCAGTTCTTTCTTACAACTTATTTTATTCTTATATAGATAAATCTCACAATTACATAAAGTCTACATATGTATTCTTGAATTTCACGACTTAGAATAAATTCTTGCAACATCTTGGTAAGGAAAATCCAAATTTAAAAAATGCTAGTACCTTAAAAAACGTTTACATTAAATATATCTCGCGATCCCGCCAGATTTCTTACATCATATGAGGTGTTGGAAGTATTTACATTCCGATTAGGAGAGCTGGCAATTGATACTGAATTGAACATTGGTGATTTGGACGAAGGAACGAGCAGAACAAAAATTAAGAACAAGAATAAAGATCAAAAATTAAGAACCAAAAAGAGAATCGAAAAAAAACATAAAATTTTACCAGTTCGGTATTGTAAACTTTACAAATTTACAATATGCGGTTCAGTTCAGGTCCCAGGATTCTAGACAGGGTGAAAGATATGGGGTGGATCGACTAGTGTCGAAGTGTGACTGTCCACGCAAAATGAGGTCCATCCCCCTTCCCTTCGATTTTGCGAAGCTATGTAAGTTCACCTCACCTTCCCCCTGTCTATGGACGTGACTTTCTATGCCAAGCGAGGTCCATTGGTGGATTCCGTACCCGTCCACCGAAGGAGAAACATCTCTGTTCAAGATACAAATCGTATGACGAATGATACCTGCCTGAATGGAATCCATTTTGTCATCGTATCTCTTTCGCGTAAAGAAATTTACGACTACGTCTTTTTTCTGTACCTGTGAACGCTCTAAGAAAATTTTCAACATTTTGTCGTCATTTGGACTATTACACATTATTGAGATTTTTGAAAGCCTGAGTATCTAAAAAATTTTATTAACCACTCCGATCAAAAGATCATCAGCGAGAATCCTGTGTGTTCTCTTTTGCCAAAGAATTGTTTAATATTAAAGCTATTTGATACTATCTTTTACTTTACTGATTTAATACTAATCAAATATGATCACTCTTCTTATATTAATTCCATTTTGTAGTATTATTTCTCTGATGCTACATTACATTTCTTTTCTTATTAACTCAGATTGTTTTATTGGTTTTTGAACCTTAGTACTCATGAACATTTGTATTAAATTATGTCTATGTATCACTCAATCCCTAAATTAGTTGATCCATAATATAAATTATATGAAACTTCATTTATCATAAGTCTTTATGGATTGTTGTAACGATTTATGACGAATGAAGACGTTTCATTCATGTAACATGTTTACATCACTCCACTTTTTCGATTTTATTTATCTCCACTCCGCTTAGCAGAACATCAAGCCTGAGAAATATAGAACTATCGAACTCGAGCTTGAGTTGAAAACGTTTTGTGAACATCTATTAATGATAAACATCAAGATCCATTTTAACCGAAAATTCTTCTCTTATAATTTATATTTATGGAATTCGTTATCGTATTCATTAAATATATGATAAATGTACATGATTATAAACAATTTTATTGATAAAACCTAATAAACATAATCCAATATTACTCAATAATTAAAATTTAAAATTATATATAGGCTATGAGTAAACGCTGGATGCCAATTGTTAAATTGATATTTAATATTTAAAACATATAGGTAAGAATATACAAAAGACATACTTTTATTAGGTCAACCTCAGTGTAACAAAGTATAGTTAATAATAAAAAAAGCAAAGCCAAGTCGGTTAACAGCAAAATTTGAATTATACATAGAATTTACATATATAGAGAGAGAGATTCTGAGTGTATTTTTCTTCGGTCTCACATATTATAGCATTTTGTAAATTGTGACAAATTGGAATAAAAAAATAGGAGAAAAATAGTTTTAATTTTGACTATTGTTTAAAATATTGTTCGAAGACTATTGCAATCGAATGTGAACTTGAGAGTTATCACAACAAATGTGATGTCGATCCACTGCGACAAGTGGAAATGGCAAACATTCGTAATAAACGCAATAAATAAATAAAATATTTATCTTAAGATTGCAATGATCGATATTGGACAATATTACTACGAATAATCGATACTGGACAATAACAAAATGGAAGCTATCACGAACGAAGAGAAAAATAGTTCGGAATTTTGTAACTCATAATCTATAATTTAAATTTTATTGTTAACCGACTTGGCGTTGCGAACTTTTTTTATTATTAATATATTTATTCAGGATGAGCTAAGATTAAAACGTATGTCTTTTGTATATTCTTATCTATGTTTCAAATATTAAATATCAATTTAGCGACATCCATATCATTTACTCGACATCCAGTTTACTCGTAGTCTATATACAATTTTAAAACCTAATAAATAATCATAATTTTATTCATAAATAATGTCGTACAATCGTTCCCTTCTATTGTTATAATTGTCCTGGAGTTGAGATGGTTGTAACAAAATTCCTCATAGTCTAATAAATATAACTTTTCCCATAATTATATTACAAAATTAAATAAAAAAAACTTTGCAACTAATAAATTTTGTTTCATTTCTAAAGATACATATCTTTTTAACATAAAAATTATATTTTAATTATAATAAAACTTTAAAGTTAAAATGTGTTACTTTTATTCCTAATTTCGTCTATCAATTTTTAACTTTAAAATATATTTTGTTTCGTTTTGGTATATTTTGTTTTTGCGTTTCAAGAAATAACAATATAAAAATAACTCTTTTCCTGTATATTATAATATATGGGAAAAAGATATTTTACTCCAATTAATACTGCATATGTGGAAAGTAAATGTTTTTGTATTTATATAATACAATCAGATTATACTAAATCATAAAAATAATGTGAAATTGTCAAAATACAATATGGCAGGAAACTTATAAAGGGATATCACACTTGGATTTTGTTCAGGATTAATCTTCCTGCTAGAAATTTCATGCATTTTTTGAGCAGTTACTAAATAGTTAACTTCTGTACTAACTTCTAAATACTAACTTCTGTAGTAACTGAGAAGGAAAACTACTTGGGATCCCAATCAGAATGTAACGCTTTGCTTGCAGTTACTGCATACAAAAGTTGCATAAAATTTAAATCCAGTTACTGAATAGAAACATAACAAATAATGGATGTTAAATTGATTGATAAGCAAGTCAACTGCTCATGAAATGGACAGTAATATTTCATATTTTGTAAATGCCTGCTGATTGTAAAATTTTAAAATTATGAAAGTCATAGTGCAGGAAATATTTGTGCATAATATATTTTGTACTAAAAAAAGCATAATATATATTATACGAAATATATTATATATCATATAATATATTATATATATTATATACCAAAGATTTTCTGCACTATGACTCTTATAATTTTAAAGTTTACTCTTATATTCGGATTGCATAAATGATAATAATGTTAATTAATGGCTAGTAAGACATAATAATACCTAGTAATGTCTGCTCGATAATTCCTATTAATTTTTAAGTAATCAAATAATTTCCTCAGTGGTTTATTCCTCGTTTTAACATTTTTAACTTTTATAAAGGGTGTTTTTTTAAGCCCGATAGAACTTGAAATTGTAAAAAATAAAACAAAAAATTAAATTAAACAGCCGCGGTGGCCATATGCCCGAAATCATTTTCAAATGTTAATGCCATGCATTGATCTTTCGACTAAAAAAAATTTTTTGATTATAATTTAATTTTTGTGTTAGTTTTTACAATTTTAAGTTCTATCGGGCTTAAAAAAATCTATCGGGCTTAAAAAAACACCCTTTATATGCACATATGATGCGTGCATTATCAACTGAATTATTATATTATAATATAATTGGAAAAAATCAGCCCAAATGTTGTATTGTAAATAAAACTTTATTCAGTTTTTGTTCAGTTTCTATGCATTATTTTAACTAATAATTTAATCTATTAATATACTAGACAATAACTGAGTTGTAAGCAGTGTCTACAAATAGCACAAATTACCAGGAAAACTGCTTCAATCAAATAATAATAAAATTTTATCAAGTTCTTGTCCATTTGCTACTCAGCATTGGCACAATTAATGAGAATACAATAATATTAGTTACTGGATACATCTCAGGAAACCTGCATACATTTCTATTATTATAGGATATTGTACTTTATCAATTTCATATTGCTTTTTAATTTTTTTAATATAATCTGATTATATCACATAAATATGGAAGCGTCCATAAAATACAATAGAAAAAATAAAATATTTTTTCTACATGTTACGTAAAAGAGTTACTTTCAAATTGTTCTATCTCGAAAATAAAAAATCATACGAAACAAAATGCATTTTTAAGTTAAAAATCAATCCTTTCACGTGACGTGATAATGAAATTTAGAAAAAAATTGCTATCTGTTATAATACTACAAAGATTATTAAAATTTTTCTTTCTTATAATGGAGCAATTTGGTAATTATATTCAGCATCTAAAAGACTTCGTTCAAATAATGTTATCGTGCCAATTCGTAGACTAATGTTATTAAGGTTCTATTAGTAATTCTACTACTATTGCATGCTATTTTTTGAGAGATCTTTAAGATATTTTTTTAAAGTAAGTGAATATTTTTAAAATATTTTTGGGGGATTTTTTTATTGTAATTTAAAAATGAAATGATTTTTTATTTTTTTCTTTAATAGAAAATATGAATAATATTTGACATGTTATAAATCCATTTTCCCTCTGCATCGTATACAGAATTCATCGCCGATCATGATTCTGGATTTCCACTGATCTGAAATAAAAAAATAAGACTTCATTTTAATCAGGACACTTGCGATACATTATCGTTTGAATTAGAATTATTAATTTCGTCCAATAAATAAATAAATAAATGATATTTATTTTTAAAATAGTTTGATTTTTTCTTTTTTTAAAAATAGTTTCAAACTCCAAAAAAATATATAAAAAATTAAGTTATCCAAGTAATTCTAGTTCCAACGATAAAGGAATGTATATTTTATAAGTCCTTAAAATTTAGAATTAATCGGTGGCTTTATTTTAATCGTAATCGCCATTTCCGAAAAAATCATTTCGAGAAAATTGCGTTTAAAGTTTGATATTTTTATAGATAACAAAAGAATTTTGTAACTTACGTTATTCGTAAATTCCGGCATTTCCGGGACCATAAAATGGACAAAGAATGTAGCAAGGAATGTGGAAAAAAAAGGCACCAATAATAAGAAAGTCCTTCTATTGGCGAGCGTCGACGGCCGCGCTTAGGTAGCGCGTTCACAGCTGCGCAGAATAACTATTATAATTTCGTTGATATTCTCAATTTTTACATAAAACTTTACAGAGATATTCTATAGACTATGAAGATTTAAAAAATGTAAAAAAGATCAATTTTTTACTCAACAAAATAGAATATAAATAGAATTAAATATTAAATAATATGTAATTTTTAAATCTAACATTATATTTAAAAAAAGTAACGGATCGTTCTAAGTAATAGTAAAAGTAACGTGTTAATTTTCCAGCTTCAATAATCTTTTATATATATATATATATATACACACATTAGGATGTCCCATTTTAATAAATAATGCATTAAGATTTCTCGAAAACTGTGGTAAATACGGAAAAATATTTCAAACAAAAGTTGTACATCAAATAAAGACCGGCCAAGATCGGTCAAATTTTGGATGTTACAATTAATACATTATATGTTCTTTTATTAAATCAATTTATTCCAGATATAATTGCGAACCGATAACATTCGGTTTCAACACAATCATTCTAAAACGCTAATAATCCCTCCTAAATTAAATTAGAAAGAAAAAAAGAAAGAAATTTATTACGAAAAGTATTACCTCAGTCAGAGGCCTCGAACCTGGAACTTCTCAACTATCCGGGAAGAGTATCTTAGTCAGCTCGACCATTGAGGCTTCGGAAATATTCTTCGCAATAACTGATAGAAAAAACGCGTTGTATGTCCGCGTATGTACAAACATATTAAAAATTTTAAGCAAAAGTTGTATAGTTCGAAGAAAGACAAATTAAGGTCAGCTCAAAGTCATTTTAAATTTTTTAAATGGAACCCGCATTTTTCATTTCATATTTTTGTAGCTTATTTCAAGAACTTTTCAAAACACCACAAAAAAAATTCTTTTTCATTAAGAACTTTTTAAGTTATAAAGCTTAAAAATTATCGTACCATCGGCGTTAGCATTACCCAAAGTGTCCGATTGATGACTAAAACCTTTTGAATATTGTTCAAGATCTGAATAACGATCCTTAAAAAAAATCCTTAAAAAAGGCTATTGAAGGTTATTTCTGTTATTTTTATTTACGTAAAAGACAACAGTGCGCTCCTCGTCCTTATGAAGTGAACGGCAAGATTTACAAAACCTGAGCATTTACAATGAATCACAACACGGCAATAACCCGCAAACCTTTTGGCACCTCTGAAAAAGAATTTTATTATAATATTTTGAAAAGCTCTTGAAGTAAGCTACGATAATATGTAATAAAAAATGGGAAGTTCCGTTTTAAAAATTCAAAATGACCTTGACCTGACCTTAACAATGCTAAATTAAAAAATGGTACCTTCTTATATTCCCTTCCGAATCATACAACTTTGGCTTCAAACATTTTTCTGTTTATCACAGTTCTCGCGAGAAATCTTAATGCATTATTTAAAATGGGATATCCTCCTGTATAATATTGAAAAATAAAATCCTTCTCAAAGCTCCAATCTGCTTTTGGAACCATGAAATTATAGATATAATGCTAATATTCCTGAAACTTATTCCTTAAAACTATGAGTAAGATTTTAATATTTTTGAAATAGTTAGATTTTTACTTTTGAATCCTCTAAATATTTTCTTGAGATATATTTATATCTTTCTATTTCAGTCTAAAGAAGCATCTTTCTTTTTTTAATCATACAGAATGATTTTTTTCCGTAACGTATGTGTAAACAAAATTAGAAGACAATGTATCTCATCTTTAAAGAGACCAAATCGCTCTGTTCTGAGTTGTGGCGATCTTGTTCTCAGGATGACATGTCTCTAATACGTGCCACGACACAATCCTTCAGAGTACACCGGGCTAAAGAAAGTGCTGCTGTTATCGAGTTTGCCGTTACTCTCTAGTTGGATTCTCAACATCTGCGCCACATCGGTCATGTGGCTATACCTTTCCAGATTCTGCTCCGGAGTCGGATCGGGCATTATGTGGCCCACGGTATCCTTGTACCTTGGCGAGATTGCCAGTCCTGCTATCCGAGGCTCTCTGGTAATTTAGTTAATGGAATACTTTCATATAAAATTCCTATTTTTACACGATTTTTTTACGTGTCTCTCATTCTTTATTCAATCTCAAAATATATAATTATATAATATAATTCTTCTTTACTCGTGACTGTATATTTCTACATTCAATAAGTATGTATCAGTATTTAATTTTTCCACCACTATTTCTCATTCTTTTTTTTTACCACAGAATAAAATAGTGATATAAAAATGATTGACATTCTAAAAAACATTTCATATTTAAAAATAAAATATATTATTATAATTATACATTAATAAAAATATACATTAATAAAAATTATATTTTGTTTGTAAAATATTATAAACATTAAATACGATAAAGAACGGTTAAATTTTGGATGTTACAATTAATACATTATATATTCTTTTTATTAAATCAATTTATCCCAGATATAATTGCGAGCCGATAACGTTTCAACACAATCATTCTGAAACGCTAATCCCCCCTAAATTAAATTAGAAAGAAAAAAAGAAAGAAAGTAAGTAAGAAAATAAGTAAGAAATTTATTGCGAAAAATATTACCTCAGTCAGGATTCGAATCTGGGACCTTTCAACTTTCCGGGAAGAGTGTCTTAGCTAGCTCGACTACTGAGGCTTCGGAAATATTCTTCGTAATAACTGATTCTTGGCGTTCTTTATCGTATTTGGCGTAAATTGATTTAATTAAAAGAATATATAATGTATTAATTCCAAAATTTGACCGTTCTTGGCGTTCTTTGATGTATTCACATATACGGTCGTGCTTAAAATTCTTAACATAGTATAAATATTATATAATTAAGTTATCTAGCAAATAAATAATCGTAAATATATTAATATTAATGAAATATACCTCCATTTAAGAATACGTCAAATTGATGTCACCACTAGTAATATTGAAAAAGATGGTCATCACTTGAAGGTTAACTTAACTAAATTAATTTGATAAACCATTAATTTTAATTGATTAAGTTGATTCAAAATGTTGGTTTTTACTATTTTAAGCTTTAGCGTTTTATATATATATATATAAACTATAGAAAAGGAGAGCAATCATGACTCTTGACCTTGACATATAGTATGTTCACCCTTCAATAGGTTTTAGCCGCTTCTCATTTATTAAAAAGTTAAGAACCAAAAAATTTGAAAAAATGTTTTATTATTCTATATGTATAATATTAAAAACTATTCTATAACCTTCCTTGATTACGTAATAACATTTTACGCGAAGCGACTTTCACACCACCTTCCCCCTATTTCAGTGGCGCACGACTTTCATGTGAAGCGACTCTCATCCTACTTCCCCCCTGCTTAAGGGCGCGCGACTTCCACGCGAAACGACTTCCATTTCACTTCCCCTTTACTTAAGAGCTTATGATTCCCACCCCATCTCTCTCCCTGCCAAGGGGAGATTCGACTTTCCACGTGAAGCAACTTGGCAAGATGAGGGACTCGCTTCGTATGGAAAGTGTATGCCCCTTGGCAAGGTGAGGTGGGGTGAGAGTCGCTTCGCGTAGAAAATTGTAAAATATATTGTATTTTAAAGCGAAAAATGTTTTATATAGTAGAAAAGAGATATCATTTTTCGAACTTTTTTGTTAATAATTATTTAATGAATGACGAGCGACGATTAAAACTTGTTGGAGGTTACTTAGAGTCATGACTTTGACAATATATGTATATCAAGGTTAAGGACATCGACGATTGCTTCCCTTTTCTGCAGATTTTATATATATATTTTACAATAAGGTTATATTCATTTGTGTTTATGTTGTATTATTGTATTATTGTATTTTCAAATACAAATTTCGCTGTTAATTGTGCTAGTAATTTTGTTCTCGTTGTTTGTGATCAATTATTATCATAATTAGTAAATATGAAAAAGAAGCAATTGCGAGTAATTTTTTGTACGATTTCAAACTAGGCTCTAAAGAGGAAACGAGTCGAAAAATTAATAAAACATTTGACCAAGGAACAAATGGACAGTATAACGATGGTCTCAAAAATTTCATAACAAAAATGAGATCCTTAAGAATCACAGAAGGTCCTCTACATAGAAGTCATAGACAATCGCGTCTTAAGTCTTAAGTCGTAGGAAACTGAATCTATTCGAATATTCTCCTTATATTTAATTTCCTACGACTTAAAATTCCACAATCGTCTACGATTTCTATGTAGAGGACCTTTAAAGATGAAGATATCCTTAGCTGTAGTCTTCTAATTGAATAACGAAAATACGCCCTAGTTTAGCGTTAGTGTATTAGACTACCGTTCTAGAGATCGTAGATGATAGATCCAAATCTCGGGGGCGCGGCGATGCGTTTTTTAAAATAAATTATAATTAATAAAATAGAATATATGTGAAACAATAAATAAAAATTAAATTTGAAAAATAAAAAATGATAATAACTATGTAAAAATAAAAAAATAAAAGAGTAATGTAAATAACACTCGATATTTGCACAACAAAACAAAGTAAATTCAGAGACGATCAATAACGAGCAAATTAAGATATTATAATTAATTATTGTTTAATACATTAGACATATACCAAAAAAGTTCCATATAATATAACTACACACGTTTCGACTTACAAAGTCTTCTTCAGTTTTAATTAATTAGCTATCAATTTAATTAATTAGTTATTCAGTTTTAATTAATTAATTATCATTTTATATGCATTATAATATTATATGTCGAAAGAAATCTATGTCATAGTTCATCAGCAGTCACACGATGGTAATAGTAACAGCATGTCCGCAATGATGTCAAGATTTAAAAATTATATATAAAATATAATATACAAGAATTATATGTTAATGCAAAATTACAGTAAAAAGAAGAAATTGATATGAATAGCAAATCAGACAATGTAATATATTGAGATGCATGGCAAAAATTAATAAAAGTTAAATTTGTAAAATGTATATCTATATATTATATGAATTTACACAATAATTTAGTAACAGCTAAAATTAATACGAATAAATACCTTTGAAGTAAAAATTAAAATTTCTTCAGTCAAAAAATAAAAAGTGTTTCTGGCGTAAAAATCGATTGAAATTAGAGACAATGCGATAAGAAGTAAGATAATGTATTGTCTCTTCAATGTTATGAGACATAATGAAATCAAAAATTCCAGACATTATTCAAGCAATTTAATGATTTACTGTAATTAACTATTGTCATGCGACGATTTTTTTCAAGCTACATTATAACTGTGAACAGGATGATAATCGTTTTTATATTATCAACGTTTGTTAGAAAGGGCGAAGTATAAATATATATTATGTTTTGTTTTTATCGTTTATAATATTATGTTTTTAACATTGATAATGAACCGATCGTGATCGAAACGTCTGTTTGTTTATTGCTAGTACATTGTATTAAATCAACTAAAGGATTTTTACTTATTTTACTTTTTTTTACTTATGTTCAAACTTCTATACTTCTATACTTCTATACTTAACAATGTTTAATTTTATAAAATAATTTTTAGCTCGTAGCCTTTTTTCTTTATTGTTTTTTATAATATCTTAATTTGCTCGTTATTGATAATCTTCAAATTTAATAAAAAAAAAATTATTTTTTTTTTTATTAAAATATTATATCGGAATCTATTCGCCGATCTCGATTTACATCAGATTCTATTGAATTGGAATCTTTCCGCCGACCTCGATTTAGGCCGGATTCAGTCGGATAAGATTCTTATTTTTCGGATTCGCTCGGAATACAATTGATTCGTTCGGCAACAGATTTCAAAGTAAAATAGATAGAAATTTTAGCCTGC